AGTAGCCGCTCAAACGTGAGGCTGCTTTAAACCAATAGGAAAAAGTCATATTCTACTGATCTTTACTTAAAATAGATTACCACAAGACAACAAATCTAATCATGGCAATGTCGTCATTACAACTTTTTAATCATTTCACCCCAAGTAAGACATTAAAGCCACTAAGACGCAAAGGGTTATTGAGTGTGAGAGATAGAAGTAAAGTATACATTGTTGTTATGATCAGGTTCCTTGTACTACGGTGATAATCCACGGTAGAACCAATAAAGAAGAACTCGAACACGGATATGGAATAACACAGATATATTACAAACAGGAATATATACAGAGAAGTAGAAAGTGTTAGTAAAAACAATCAGGTTTAGTAGTAATTGTCTGAACGCGATTCTGTTTCGGACTGCCTCTGACTGACTGACTGACTGACTCGCTCTGACTGACTGACAGACTCCTGACGGACTTCTGACGGACCTCACTCCAGACTTCAGACTGAACTCCCTGCTTCCTCTTGAGGCTCAGTATTTATTACGTATGGAATAGTCCATTATGTTATTATGGATAAGATCCCATAACAATTATTGAGGAACGAGAACAATAAAAACCAGGAATTAAGAAGACAGAAGATAGCGATTGATATTGTGGGAAAATTTTTGAAGAACAGATTTAACTGGAAAGCAAGACGATAAAAGACATTTCCAAAAACAAAATGTGCTGGAGAAGGAACTGTTAACATAGAACATACGATTACATGTAGCTAGTTTCACTGTTACATAAGGAAAACTTGCTGCCAATTTAGTAATGCCCTTAAATGCATAAAGTCTAGGTGCAAAAGAAATAAACGCAACAGAACAATTACGATAAAAAATAGTGATTAAAAGGCACGGGGATTTACTATAAATCTTACATTTATACTGTGCGAGAATTGTCGTATATTTTGTTCACAAATAAATGTTGGAACTGCTAAGTATCTGTGATATATTTGGGAAAGATATTCGAATAATCCATTACATATGCTGGCAGCAAACCGCCTGCGTACACATAGAAAATGAATCCTGTAACGATACAAAAAAATGAAATGTGTCTAAGAAAAGGATCTGCTTTTTCACCTGCCTTATTCCACTTATAATTTCAGGCAATTCTGAGCGAATTAGAAATACTACCAGTATTCATTATTGGCTGGCACAATCTGAAAAACATAAGAAATGCAGAAGACATAGTCTTGGTAGCAGATACAAAAGGTAGTGAGGGAAAGCGAGATGAAATGAGTAAACATCAATTGCAAGAAGATGCACAGCCGTAAGCAAAATGTATAGCTCAACATGCAAATTACAAACTTGATATAACAAAACCGGACAATTACAAACACTTAAACATCTAAGAAGAGTTTCAACAGAGCACAGAAAGTTCGACATGAAATCCGAAGACGATTTGGGAAACGCAATATGCATTCCAAAAGATAAGTAAAGTATTAAGAAACAGGAACATTTTCTTATTAACAAAGATATTAATATTGAATTGTTATATATCGTAGGAGTTCCTGTGCGAATTTCGATTCACAAGCGGTCACCAGTTGCATGTATACACACTTTTAGGATAGAGTGATCCTATTTGAATTCAGTTACCATCTCCTAGAATGGATTCCTCCCAAGGACCAGGTATGTCCTGCTATTTTACCCAAAAAGGAGAAAAGATGGATTCATAACTTTCCCAAGATTATTAACAACAAAGTGAATGTAATGAACTCGAGATGTATTTGAACCCGGCTCCTCGATTTCTCAATCCGACCCGCTAACGATTCTCCACGAAAAAAATATAGGTAATGTCATTCGTCGTTGTAGATTGACTATTCAGATAAGGTCATCATTTTCCTCTCTTGGTTGATGGCTTCTTGTGCGACTGACTAGAATAACACGTGAATTGAACTTTTTTTCTGTATGTAGGGCATCCAAAAAAATCTTGGGTGATACCAGTCGAAGGATTTCATGTGTGACGTCTTCTATATGACAGTGAATGCTAGAAAATCTGCACACAGGTGAAGAAGAAGTTTGAAACAACAGAAATGTGTTGCTGCAGAAGGATGCTGAGAATACCATGGACCGACCATATACTTAATCACGGAGTTTAAGAGAAAATGAAAACACAAAAGAGACATCAGGAAGATACAGTTAAAATTCCTTGGGTACATAATGAGGAAAGACGGCTTTGAAAATTCGATACTCACAGAACTGATTGAAAGCAATTGGGTCAGAGGAAAACAATGCATATCCTACCTAACGAGATTGAGTAAATGGATGGTGGAACAAGTTTTACTAGAGATAGTAGAAATATAAAATTGATTAAGAGCTACAAAAGAGAGGAACGTTTTAAGCATTTCACCCCAAGAAAGGCGGGAATGCCACTAGCACGCAAGGGGGTATCAGAGAGGGTGAAAATGAGAGAAAGGCCTGGGGATAGGGAGGACTGGGGAAAAGATAAAGATGAACGGGTTTCAAGTCAACAGAAA